AATAAAGTTCTATTTCTATGTTGTAGCCTAAGCCAGACCAAAACACAGAACTAGGAAAGTGATTATTCTGCCTCCCAATTAAACATGCGAAAAAGTGGACATTAATTAATTCCCAGTCTTCATAGAGAAAGATTGAGGTTTCGACCTCATGCTGAGGGAATTCTGCTTTGATAAAGTTACTATAGATCATTACTTTGGAAAGTAAAAGTATCTGTTTCCGGTACAGTCTGCTGTGTAACTTGACACAGAAGTGAAACTCTGATTTTCCTTCTCAGCGCCACTAACCACCGCCCACTCATAACACTGCGGAAATACCCAGATGACGCACTTTAAAGGAACAGAAAAAAAAAAGTAGTGAGCAGACGAGGCAATAACAGGAGGAGAAAAATGCCGCATCCATTTCCGTCTCTGTTGATAGTGTGCGCTCAGGATTTTATCCTCACGGAAACAACATCCACTCAGATTAAAGTCAAAGCTGGTTGATTCGCTGACCTTTATTCACTACCAAACACCTCTATAAAACCGTTAAAGCTGCTTTCCAGTCGTCTAGAATAAAAGTGTGCTGTTTTTATTTGTTTTTAGCAAAGAATGGAGGGATTCCGTCCTCACTTGACCACTTTTACAAACCGGTGTATATGTTTTGGCCAGCAGGGGGTGCTGTATGCCAATTATTTTTCTGTATGCATTTTTTTTTTTATTATCTTTTGCAAAGCTGTTTATCTCCATAAATAAATCATCTGCATCTCTATTGGCAGCTTTCCCTTGCTTTGAAAGTTAGTGAAGATAGTTCAAAACCTAAACTGTCAAACTCCACTTCTAGATTGATTTTATTGATCTCACAGTGGAGAAATTTACCCATTACATCATCTAAAATAGTCAAAGAAGAATGTGCCAAAGAAAGAAAAAGATACATGGGATTTATGCAGTATATACAGTGCACATATGGCAGCTTTTTTACTTTTTATTTTTTTAACAGTAGGATACAGGGTTATTGCACAGGGTCTTTACATGGTATTTATATAGATGGATATTTATATATCAAGTTATTGCACTGAGTGTCAATTAAAGAGAAGCAGTTATTGCACAGGGAATCAAATGGTAAATTACACATTATACATTGCACATGTTATTGCCGTTATAGGGTTGCAATAGATGTATTATTAATTGTGACTCACTGAACTCCAAAGCAGTGTATACCAAATAGCAAAGTTGAGCCTTTGGAAGGATGAAATTGTTGAAAATACAGATATTTTGTAATGACAGGGATATAGTGTCTAATCCAAAAAATTTATTCATTAGATCAGTTTGGCCATTTAAGGTTTCTCCCATATAAAGCCTTAAATGGCCAAGCTCCATCTTACATCAGAGATATGATTGTACCTTATGTCCCTAATAGTGGTTCCTAGAATTTCTAAAAGTAGAATGGGAGGCAGATCTTTTAGTTATCAGGCTCCTCTCCTGTGGAACCAACTACCAGTTTTAGTCCGTGAGGCAGACACCCTGTCTGCTTTTAAGGCTAGGCTTAAAACTTTCCTTTTTGATAAAGCTTATAGTTAGAGTGGCTCAGGTTATCCTGAGCTATCTCTATAGTTATGCTGCTATAGGCTTAGACTGCTGGAGGACATAGGGGCCCATTTTTCATTGTTCTGCTTCATTCTATTTCTATTCTTCCACTCTGCAGAATCTGTTAGTTCAATCTCTAACGTTCTGCTCTCTCTGCTTTTTCTCATAGTAGCTTCATCTGGTCTGTTCCTGTTTGGCTGTGACTCCATCCTGGAGAGAAATATCAGCTGTGCTGCTGCCATCAACACCTTTGTTTATAGAGGTTCCAGCTCGGCCTTTTTTTCAGTGTATTCCTGTTTCTCTGACACTGGCTGGAAGTGCTCTCTTCATCCTCTGATATCATAGCTGGTTCTGAGCTCATCTGCCTGGCTGCTACTTTCTGTATCTCTGCTTCTGTCTCCTTGAACCCCCGTCAGCCTTGGCAGATGGCTGCTCACAATGAGTCTGGTTCTGCTGGAGGTTTCTTCCTGTTAAAACTGAGTTTTTCCTCTCCACTGTCGCTACAAACATGCTTAGTGTGATGGATTGCCTTAAAGTCAATGAATCGATGCAATCAACTGGTTTTGCTAAGTTAGAAAACTGAATTAATTTGACTGGATCAATTATAAAGTGCCCTTGTGAAGACATGTGTTGTGAATTGGCGCTATATAAACAAACTGAATTTAATTTGAAATGTGTAATTTGAAATTTATGTTCATATATAACTATACTAATGCTGCAAAACCCATATGCTATTATCTTAAAATTATTGCAAGACAGAAGTTAGTACTTTAATGTCACAATTTATGCTCTCTCCACAAAACATAAAACAAACAAACAAATAAATCACTTAAAAAAACACCAACAACTCTAGTTTAGTTACTACAACAATCAGCTCCAAGAATGATGAAAAGGACATCACATCACATGTTTTTAAGAATTGATCTTCTTGCCCTCCTGAGGCAAAATACAAACGCTAGTGGTGCATGTAAAGTCAGTAGGGCATTTTTAGCATTTCAAGGAATTCCATCATTAGCTAAGCCTTTTGCTGTACGATTAAACGTTTCAGTAAATATAAAAAATCATCTTTCCATGAAGATACATATGTTATCATGTCAGATTGTCATATCTTTTAAGAAGGTGAACAATTTCATTCCATTTGGGTGAGTGTTTGATATTTCCGAGGTGCAGTGAACGCAATGCTGTGACATGAGTGGGCGGGGCTTCCAGGCTGCCGCTGCCCGTTAAGGCGGCGCCTCCCTCCCTCTGCTCCAGACTGCGGCGGTTGGCGGACAGCTCTGCTTACAGAAATGGCGGAGGGGGAGTTGGACGTGGACTCGTTGATTTCCAGGCTTCTAGAGGGTGAGACTCTCACAGTTTACATTCTTAATAATTTGTTGAATATTTTCTTAAGCTTGGTTGATTGTTAAATTAATTTTAATGTAGGGAAAAACGAACAAATTAGCTTGACTCCTTTGCTAGCTTAACGTCCTACAGTAAAACCCTTCTCTCTCTGTCCAAGAACACAGGCACACCTCTCAGCCAGCTGCTACTACCTTTCTCATGACTCACAAAGACTATATTAGTCCAAAACAGGCTTCTTTTTTAAGCACATCGTAATGTTTTCGGTCTTTAAATGTTGTATTCCTAGTTTGTTTGGACAGCTTTAACTGGTTCACTAACGTTAGTCTTTAAACTACCTTACAGTTTATTCCAGCCTGAATTCTTGTTGCAGTACTTGTGTAAAATGTGTAAAATCTTATTTTTAGCCGCAGGTAGCCCTTAAAGGAAGCAGTTTTGCTGTTTGGGGGAATAATTCCCAGCTGAAGACGTCAGTGTTTTGTTTGTGTGAGTGAAGAAATGTACACAGGCCTTGGTTATCTTCCACTTTAAGATAAACCTGCATGGAGGATGGCCTTTGAAACATTTCCAAACTAGGAAACCTTTTATTTAAGGCTTCGTTCTGTCTCCAAAGCTAAGCATAAGACATATAACTAAAGGTGGACCCAGCAGAGAGGTGATGTGGTTGTTAAACGCAGGTTTTTGTGAAGCTCTAACCTGCTGTTGGTAGTGTTTTTATCTGATTGTGTTTATTATCAAAGAAAACAAATCAGAACCAGGTTAAACAGCTTGTCTTTTTCTGCAATTATGTGGATGAAACTTCAAATTCTTTTCGGACATTATGACCCAGTTTGCATTCAAAGCAAATTATATTTTATTAAACAATATACAGGTCTGCAGCTGGACTCTTTTGTATAAAGAAGCACATTTTTGCAATTGAGTTTTTTATTTCTGTTTGGTTCATTTAGTGTAGAAGTGAAAACAATAACAGAAAAAATCTTAGTCAGAAACTAAAATATAAAAAAAGAAAAGGAAAGAAACACCTGTATAAAATAAACAAAGGTTTCACCTATTCATAGCAGTTTATAAAAAAACATCTACTTGATCAGGAACAAAACTATTAGAATTTGTTCAAAGAAAAAGTATACTTAAAAACAATCTTTACAAAGCAGGAAAAAATAAATAAATAAATAAAATAAATAAATATATATATATATATATATATATATATATATATATATATATATATATATATATATATATATAAATGAAAGATTTTGTTGAAGTGTTTGTTCTTTACTTAGGCTGCATTTCAGCATCTCATTAGATGTAGTGAAAGTAGAGGTGATGTTGTTCTGCATCACCAAAACAAGTTTGTGCGTGTAGTGATTTTAAATGGTTTATAACATTTGCACAATTTGTGTGTTTAGAATGACTTAAGTAAAATTAGTAAATTCCCAGAGGAATAACCTGACCAGTAATATTAGATCGTCTGTTGTCATCCAACTCGCACTTTAAGCTGAAGCCTTAAAGGAATAGTACACCCAAAACATGATTATCCTTCATTTTCTACTCACCCCCATGCTGAACAACACTCTGGAGTACTTTTTTGATATCTCAAATGCATCTGGAGATCTGGGAGGCTTCTTGCTGTCTGCTGACATTCAAATAATGGAGGTCTATGGCGCCCGAGGCAGAAAGGTCCATAAAAGTCCACAAAAAACGTGTCAATATTCCTCCATACATTCCAAGTGTCCTGAGTGGGTAGCATCCATAATTTACTCGAAACGAAGTCATTTAGAATGTTTTTAGAGCATAAACAGTAGTGTACAGGTTTTCCTAAAAGCGCGTTCACGACGCTACGGAAACCGCGGCAGACCAAACCAGATGAAAGTGCGCATTCAGCGTCTGCTCTGCCGATAATGCAAGCGTAGAAGAAGAAATGTGCTGTTTACCTGTGCAAAGAAAGAAACAACGAAAGAAAAATATCTGAGGACTTCAGTGTTGAGGAAGAGCATGAGTTCTTTACCGAGCTGAATGCGCACTTTCGTCTGGTTTGGTCTGCCGCGGTTTCCGTAGCGCCGTGAACGCGCTTTCAGGAAATCCTATACACTACTGTTTATGCTCTAAAAACATTCTAAATGACTTCGTTTCGAGTAAATTCTGGATGCTACCCACTCAGGACACTTGGAATACATTGGACGAACAGTATGGAGGAATATTGACACGTTTTTTGTGGACTTTTATGGACCTTTCTGCCTCGGGTGCCATAGACCTCCATTATTTGAATGTCAGCAGACAGCAAGAAGCCTCCCAGATCTCCAGATGCATTTGAGATATCAAAAAAGTACTCCAGAGTGTTGTTCAGCATGGGGGTGAGTAGAAAATGAAGGCTAATCATGTTTTGGGTGTACTATTCCTTTAATGTACAGTCTGCATATTTTGTCTGAAATGGTTTATTTTCCACACGTGAGAAGGTTTATTCTGTTTGCATTTTTTCCTTAAAATGTACTTTTTGGTTTTTAGCCTCACGTTGAAACGGCTCCCACTTAACTGGATAATGTTACACGCATGGGGTTAGCCTTCTGGAAGCTTAAAAACATTTACTATTCGTTAACCATGTCTGGAGGCCGAGGAAAAAAGGATATAATGACAGACATGCTTCTGAATGACACACAAGCGGCTCCTAAAATCAGCTGTTTCAGATGGACGTCCCTGCTAAGCAATCCCATCATGCAGCAGCTTGTGCAGCAGGCCAATAGGAAAAAAAAAAATAATTTCCTACCACATCTCTCCAAACTAAAATAAAGCTGTGGAGTCGCACTCTAAAGTCATTGCTTTTCTTGTTGACAAGGCTGAAATAAAAACCACCTCATGAAGCATGAATCTTAATTTCTTCATTTAAATTTTTGAGCTTCCCTAGACTGTTAATATAACCTATTTTATGAGTTTAGGCCGCTGTCTGTTCCAGGTAATCAGCCCACTGGATCATTTTGTTCATGAAGGAAACATTAACAAGATGTTCTTGCATAAACAGTAATGCAATCTAAAGGTGGAGCGATACATCAGCAGGACGATAATTTGGGCCTTGAAATCAGATAAAGCACGTCAATTCCTGCTGCCTCCATTTGTTATCATTGAACAAAAAAGATTTGGTAATAAATCCAACCAAACGTTGAAAAATTGGTAATTTTTTTTTTTTTAGAGCTGAGCGATATGCACTTAAAATCTTTTTTTTTTTGGGTTATATTATCATGTGAACAATAAAAGTGATGCCTGTTACCACAGCAATGATAGCCTTATAATCATAAATGATACTCTTGAATTGATTTGATGTACACACTTAATATCAGTTTCTTTTGGACACCAGTTGCATAAAGAAGTATGATTTATATAATTTATTTTTCATTGCACCAATAAGAAAACTTAAGAAAAAGAACAAATGGTTAAAATGTTTCTGGAGTTTTGAATCATTGATTTTAATTCATCATTTAGACCATAAATCAACTCTTGTCATGACTAGAAACATATGGTAACGATAAGTGCATAATTTATCATGTAAAGGAAAATATCAGCCTCATATTGGTCAAGTAAATATGCATCTGCCTTAAAAAAGGCTGCATTGATCAATCTCTTATGCAATTTTATCTCTATTTTATATATTGTTTTTTTTGTTTTTGTTTTTTATTCCAAAGTCTCCTAGGCAAGGCAAATTTATTTGTATAGCACAATTCAGTACAAAGACAATGCAAAGTGCTTTACATAATTAAAATATAGGAAAATAAAACAGAATCAAAGCAAGTAGGAAAAAAAAGAATAATAAAAAATGCAGAAACAAGAAAGAACGTTAAAACAGTTGGACCAAAGAAAATAAAAAAGTTGAACTAATGATGTTTCAGTTGAACTGTTTAACTAGAACATTCGAAGGCAATCCTAAACAAATGTGTTTTTAGTCTTGATTTAAAGGAACTCAGGCTTTCCGCACTTTTACAGTTTTCTGGAAGTTTGTTCCAGATAAGTGGAGCATAAGAACTAAATGCTGCTTCTCCATATTTAGTTCTGGTTCTAGGTATGCAGAGCCAGAAGACCTGAGTGATCTGGAGGGTTGATACACTGATAGCAAGTCTGTGATGTATTTAGGTGCTAAGCCATTCAGGGATTTATAGACTAATATTTTAAAGTCTATTCTCTGGGATACAGGGATCCATTGTAAGAATGGATGGAAACCTATTGTGTCTCTGAGTTGGGCAGAGGGGGCCAATGTAAAAGAGGCAGCAGAGCGGCTCCTTCAAAGGACGCAGATCCTTGGTATAGATGCGTTAAAGCTCAGCATTGAGGCGTTCACTGATCGGAGAACAAAAACAAACTACAGATTTCCTCCATGATCTTCCCCGTCTGATCGACTTGATAATCTCAAAGTGCTTTATTTATGTAGCCTAGTAAACTAGCCTCACCTGCCAGAGGCCAAAATAACATTTGCCTTCCAGTGGTCTAGCCTCGATCAATGCCCCCCAGAACCGGCCGGCGAATCACACCGCAGAGATGTGTTTTGAATTTTTGGATGCAAAGCGGGCTGCGTTCTGAGGGCGTGACGACAAAGCTGCACAACGCTGGAGAAAACACAACAAGGAAGATGGCAACAACTATTGAACAGTAGCATGCACTGCAGCAGCTGCAGCTTTCAATAGAGCGCTCCATTGAAAGTTGCGTTTCTTTTTCTGTTGCTGTTGTTCAATAAAAGAACATTTTAAGATAATTTGATGCGAGAATATTATACTTTAAAGCGTCACTATATGGTCCATTTACCGATTTAATGCGTAATTTAAAAAAGCCATTTACGAAGTTGAGAGGACAGCGGCAACCAGCGGAGCTCCGAGGCTAACAGTAGCCAGGGCTAACTGAAGCTGGTCTGCAGCAGCCCTCTCTCAGCATAGTCATGTGTGAAGGACCGCTGGCTCTGATGGCGATTTTTGACTCTTTGGAATCATTTTTGGAAGGATTAGACTTGGTGGTTTTTGTTG